GAAGATAAAAGTGAAATTTAACCTTTTATGGTTGCAGTTTGCTACTTGAGCAACTCAAATATTTTTCCCTCTTCTAAAACGTGGACGCCTATGCACCCGACTAATCAATGCTCAGTGCATAGCTGATAAGGGTTTTTAAGCTTTAGACCAAATCAATGTAGTATAGTAAGGATGTAATCCAATCCTGAGTGCTAATGAACAAAGATAATGCAAGACATTGCTAAATCTAAATGCAATCAAGAGAGTTGTTTTATAAGGTAACAAGTGACTAGCAATGTAAGTAAACAAGAGTAAATAAAGCTTTCTTTCAAGGAGATAGGAGAATTTATGGGTAAGGGTATTGACTTTGGGTGATCAAGTTACTATCTAGGGTGAGGTTTCAAGCAATCATTCATATCCTATAGGTCTAGACACAATCCTAAGTTAGTCATTGGTCAAGGTAAAAGCTCATTTCCTATCAATCTTTAAACACGAATGGTCATTGGTCGAAATCAATCAAGCAATCATTAAGAACAAGTCTACTAACCACTTAAGCTTTCCTAAAATGAAGGGTCCTTGGTTAAGCAAACAAAAATAATTATTACTTTGGTTCAGGCATTTCATCATAAACCTTGTAGGCATGAAATGCCTAATGATCTAGTTTAGAAGGATTAGGTCTAATCTAGCATTGAGAATAAGTAATAAGCATCGGACAAGAAAGATCTAACACTAATCACCCTAGATCATCACTTAATCACCCTAATAACCCTAACCCATAAGCTCAAAGAGAGTCTACTCACTAATCTTCATGTTTAATCTTAAACCCATGATGGATAGAAGAATAATCATGACTAGAAGAAGAGATAGATTCAAATTACTCAAGAAACAAAGTTAGATTAATCAAGGATTCAACTTTCCAATTTGTTTTTGATAGAAAAGAAGATATTATCCAACTTATGGGATCAAAATGTGTTTATAGTATTCTTAAAAACCTAATAGGTCTCATAAACAAGTCTGAGAAAACCCATTAAACATGTGAAAATCGACCAAATGATAACACACAGCGAGTGGCGTGACCCGCTGGCACTGGTCGCTGTGGAATTGTCTCCTTTCTGAGCGGGTGCCTCACCCCAATGCCAATGGTCCCTCGGGCATTTCCCCAAAGCTTCATATGCCGAGTGGGTGTATCCACCCGCTGCAACAGGTTGCTCCGAGGGGTCACTTCAGTAGATTGATCGTAACTCCTTCAATACAGCTCCAAATGACTTGAAATCACTTTGATTAGAAAACTAACTCAATTTCCCATGTCTTTCAGAAGGATTGGCTTCAAAATTTATCTTTAAGGTCTCCATACATGGTCATATTTCACCCTTTCGCATCACAAATGTCTCTAAACACCTCCAAAAGCTCAATAGGACACTCCAACACCTGAGAAAGACTTATGAATGCAATATTGATCCTAAAGATGTCTAAACCTAAATCTATATGATGATTTATGTACAAAATAAATTGCTAAAACTATGCAAATATGCCTCATATCAACTCCCCCAAACTACTCCTTTACTTGTCTTCAAGTAATTAGTTAAGATCAAAGGGAGAGAGAATAAAATGGGAAATTCAAAACCAAATAATACACTTCTTATACTCAACACCACTTCCTAGATAAACATAACCTATAGCATAAACAATCTCAATTAGTACACTCTAGATTCTCAAGGCCTATCAAGACTCATTGCTATAAAACAAGTTGTGGATAACCATTCAACAATTCTCCTCAACCAGCCTCACATTCAATTAAGCATAAGATAATAAGGTGAGTGCTTGCAAATGGAAACTTGATCTTGATCATTTGGCTTGGTAAGTGAAATGGCTAAATGAGAATAGAAGAGGGGTTTCAATACATTTCTTTTTAGTGGCTTACACTCAAAAATAGGAGTTGTATCATTATGCAAAATCTATCTAAGAAAATGAGCAACTTATGCATACATTGCTTGTTCTTATCAGTCTACCCTTTTCCTAGACATCTTTAAACTCTACCCTTTTTCTTGGTGTAAATCTCAAACCCATTCTATCCCAAGAATATTAAGATTTCTCTCTCTCTTATTCTCTCTCACCCAATGAACTCTGAAAATGTATATTCTGTGTTAGTTCGTGAAGTACTACATGAGGTAGTACATGCGTGTATCATGAAGTTGGGCTAAGTTGGAGTTTGTGTTTTGTGATGTCCGTGGGCTTTTTAAGCTTGGAGAAGAGGTAATATAGTTATTGGAATATTTACATTAAGTGTAAATGATATTACTTGAAGAGGAAAAGACAAGAGAGTTATTCCTTAAGAGAAAAATGAAAGTTCCTTAAGTTGCTTTTGGAAGAACTTGAGGAGCAAGTTCTAGGTATCTATACAAGGAGCACGTGCCTCCATGGAGAAAGGTGTCTCTGGGAAAAAGAAAAGTCAAGAGATCCTTTGTGCTTGTGTGATCAAGCTTTTGGCGTTGTTGTTCTGCGTTAGTTGCTGACGTAGTTGTTGACGTACTTCCGGAGTTCTGGAAAATTAAAGCCTAGACTCAGGGGGAGTTGAGCTCGGGGTCTGGAGGATCCTGATAAAAAAAAGTCTAGACTCTAGGGTGAGTTTTAGCTTAGGATTGGTCTAATCCTAAAGGATTCTTGTAATAGAAACGATTGGTGTAAGACTTTCTTTTTCTAATGAATCCGAAAAGAGAAACTTGTGTCTTTTACTTTCTGATATTTATTTTCTGGTCTCACTACATCAACAATTGGTATCAGAGCGGGTTACCTAAGTTACTGGTGAGATCTTTAAGGGTAAGGACATAAACTAGTTCAGGAAGAAGGACAGAGTTTTTGATGGCGATGATAACGAGGCAGTTTCCTAACTACCTGAAGAAACAGAAAGGCAAGATGAAGAGTAGAAGAGATGACTCAGGAGGTTCATCGAAGATACAATGCCATGAGTGCAAAGGGTTTGGGCATGTTCGCAAGAAATGTGCGAATTTACTGAAGGTAAAGAAGAGGGATGACGTCAAGGATGAATCTGATACTGATTCAGATGATGGTGAGGAGTTGAAGAACTTGGTGGCGTTCACAACTTTTGATTCGTGTTCTAAGACAAGATCTGCGACGGGATCTGCATCGGCGTCTGCGTCAGGGTCTTCATATGGAAGCGATTCTGGTGCTGAAAGTGATGATGATGATGGAGACTTTGATCTTGCTGGAAATTATGAAAAGCTGTATGAGCATTGGCTCAAGATGGTTGAGGCGAATTCAGAGTTGACTAAAGAGAAAGTAAAGCTAGAAACTCAAGTGGCTGGAGCACTTAAGTATGCCTTAGAGAATGAAGAAGAAGCACGACAGGATAGTGTTCAACTTTCAGAGACTCAGAAGGGTTTGAAGATGCTGAATAATGGGACGGATCAGTTGGATCATCTTCTCAGCATTGGGAAAAGTGATTGATGTGGTCTTGGATTCAAAGGTGAATCTTCTAAAGGTAAAGGTGTTTTTGTACCAGCAATAAAAACTGATGGTGTAGCTACTACGTCTGCTACAAAGCCAGAGGTTAAGGTTTGTGCTGGGAATGCAACAAATGGGAAGACTACAGTGAAGGCTGCAACCTATGTGAAGAAGGCAACTGCTACAAGTACAGCTACTACTTCGGGTAATGTTTCTGGTCCTAAGAAGGTATATGAACGAAAGTTTCGGCCTGTTTGTCATCATTGTGGTGTTGTTGGGCACATTAGGCCAAGGTGTTTCAAGTTGTTGAGGGAGAAGAATCAGATGGAACAAGTTTATGGTATGAGGGGTCATGGTCCTATATGTTATTCTTGTGGAGTTCAAGGGCATATTCGAGGTGATTGTCACATGTCTGTTTATGGAGAAAATGATGGAAGATTTGGGCTCAGGAATACATGGTCTAGGAGATTTGATCATTATTGGAGATGGTGGTATGGGATGGTATCCTCACTTTGGAGGATATTCATCTTCTTATTAGTTTTTGACCATGATGTGACTCATAGGGGGAGATTGAAGACGTGGTTTTCTATCCAGAGGTGATGAGTGCACATGCATAGTCAAAAAGGGGGAGACTAAAGATGTATATTTTGTGTTAGTTCGTGAAGTACTACATGAGGTAGTACATGCGTGTATCATGAAGTTGGGCTAAGTTGGAGTTTGTGTTTTGTGATGTCCGTGGGCTTGTTAAGCTTGGAGAAGAGGTAATATAGTTATTGGAATATTTACATTAAGTGTAAATGATATTACTTGAAGAGGAAAAGGCAAGAGAGTTATTCCTTAAGAGAAAAATGAAAGTTCCTTAAGTTGCTTTTGGAAGAACTTGAGGAGCAAGTTCTAGGTATCTATACAAGGAGGACGTGCCTCCATGGAGAAAGGTGTCTCTGGGAAAAAGAAAAGTCGAGAGATCCTTTGTGCTTGTGTAATCAAGCTTTTGGCGTTGCTGTTATGCGTTAGTTGCTGACGTAGTTGTTGACGTACTTCCAGAGTTCTGGAAGATTGAAGCCTAGACTCAGGGGGAGTTTAGCTCGGGGTTTGGAGGATCCTGATAAACAAAATTCTAGACTCTAGGGTGAGTTTTAGCTTAGGATTGGTCTAATCTTAAAGGATTCTTGTAATAGAAAAGATTTGTGTAAGACTTTCTTGTTCTAGTGAATTCGAAAAGAAAAACTTGTGTCTTTTACTTTCTGCTATTTATTTTCTGGTCTCACTACATCAACAAACTCTTTCTCTTTTCTTTTCTTTTTCTTTCATTTTTACTTAGTTCTTTTGAACCAACAGGGGATTTTTTCTCTCCCGCTGCGCTTCAGGCCTCCCCCCGATCCACCACCATGTAAGTTTCTCCGGCTTGGATCTCTCTCTCCCATCGAACCACCGGAACCACCAGACCCTCCCGATGCAACTTCTCCTTTTCGTTTCCTCATCACCTTCTCCAGCCTATCTCTTCAAGCGGTGGCCCAAACCCTAGATCTGGATTTTCCATTGTTAGCTTATCCTTCTCTATGGGGTTATTTCCATCCAACTATATAGTTGAATCCATCATTTACTCTGCTATAGAGTGTCCTTTGCATGTTACTGTTTTCTACTCTGTTATAGAGTGTTCATTGCCTGTTACTACCTTCTACTCTGCTATAGAGTGTTCACTGCCTATTATTTCCTGGTTTCAGATCTTTCTAACTCTCTCTAGAGTGGAATACTTAATGTTGAATTACAGATTTTCACCATGGTTGTGGTTTCAGATCTTAATTGTCACCACTCTTTTGAAACCAATTTCAACTTCCCTATTACCATGGTTTTTGTACCATTGCTGCTCATGTGTTGCAAGGTTGACCTTTGGATTGGAAGATTGCTCTACAGATGATTTGTTCTCTGTACTGTTTAAAGGCCCAGCATCTTGGTGTCTCATCACCTCTGCTATTGTAGCCAATGTTAAAATTGTTGTTTCTGCACTAGTTGCAGTACCAATCACAAGCATTAGATCACTGATTGTGTTCTTTGTTTCCCATGGCGTCATTCCACTGCTTAAGCCTAGTGTTGTCGAGATACGAGGACGTCTGTCCAATGTTAGTTGTTTATTTATAATGATTGCTTCTATCTTTCTGTTTTTGCTTGCCTTTTGTTGCAGCAAAGTTGTTAGCCGTTATGGTTTTGTTATCATCTTTGTAAACATTGTCTCCTCTAATGGAGATTAGTTATCTATAAAATCTTGTTTGATCAAAAAAAAAATGCTTTCCCCAAGTCTTTTCTAGACTATTTTCTTTTCTATTTTATAAGCAAAATGGGTTTCTTATTTTAAGACTCTAGAACTTCTCTTTCTTTTTCTTTTGATCTCTAATGGTTTTCTTTTCTTTGGTTCATTCTTTTCACTGATCTAACACCCCAAGACCCAAGATAAACTCTTTTGCATCACAATACCAAACTTCCCATCCTAATTGCTAGCTCTCAAGAGGTCTTATAGCTAGCCTGAGATAAGAACAACCAATGTCGCCCCTAATACACTCAAGTTTTTGCACATGAAAAGCTATCAAAAGAGACCTAAAAAAAAACAAAATGATATAGGTTTCACATAATGGTAAGGGTTTAAAGGTAAAGAGTGCCTTTTGGGTTTTATAAAGAGTAGTATGAAGGATAAGTAAAACCCAAATGTGTATGACCCATGATCAAGTATGCAAGTTCCCATAAGCAAGAAAGATTAAGTTCATTCAGCTTTAAGTTAATTTGGAGTTGGTTTAAAGGAGAATGTAAATCTCACACAAGCAACAAGTTTCAAGAAGAGTTTTCAAGGCTCGAAGCAGTAAGCTTTTCAAGAGATGCTTAGGCTATTTGCTATGCTCAGCTAGGGTGTAATTTTGAGTTCTAAGCATGTATTTCATTATTAGGTCAGCTCCTAATGGATGAATGCAATCTAAATGCTTCTAGACTCAATCTTAAAGATGTTATGATACAACCTAAATGCTTGTTTTTGTTTCTTTTTGCAAATTTTTCAATTTTTTAGACTTTTGTATGCATATATGTATATACAATGCAATGCATGAGACTCAAAATCAGCAAAGTAAACATGATCAAATACTTGGTATCTCCCCCAAAATTAAATAACACAGTCTCTGTGTGAGTAAGAGAGAAAGAGATACCGAAAATATGATTAAAGTAATAGTATATACAAGGAATGGTTGGAGTGATAACTCAAGTGGGAATGAGCAGTGTTGTGGCTATTGGTGTTTTGGCATGACCTATGGGCATATTGAGGAGACCCCCAAACTTGTTCCTGACCTTATTCAACACATAAGAGCAGCAATATATACAAGGGTAATCATGGGAATTCGTCTCAAGTGAGCTTGTTTAAAGTCTCTTAGCTTGACTACCTTTGTTTACCTATTGAGAAGGAGGATCCTTCCCAACTTCAAGGGTTATGGTGAGGACGTGTGTAAGGAGCTCTTGGAGCTTAAGTGGATAAGCTTGGAGTTGAGGAGATATAATGCCCTGGCACTTGAGAATGGCTTGGACCTGCCCTTGCACTTGAGAATGGCTTGGACCTGACCTTGCACTTGATCTTATACTCAATGGCTCCATCCTTTAGCTTTAAAGGGTGGAGTGTGAGAGTGTGTGGCAGCTTGGCAAGCTTTGGAGATGGAGGATCTTTCATCTTCTTCTTGGCTTGAGTAGTCTTAGTAGCTTCACTCACCTCATCCTTGGTAGCATCTCCCAAGTGCTCTACACAACTCTTCTTTGAGGAACCCTCACCAAGAACTTCTTCCTCCTTAACAACCAATGCATCGTTCAAAATTGTTCCACAATAACCTCCATACAGCATGGTGGCTTGTTTGGATAGGAGACTTCCATGTTGATATTTTGGAGGACAACCTTCTTGTCTGGGAAGTCAATGCAAGTCCCCAGAGTAGCAAGGAAGGGCGTGCCTAAGAGCAAGGGCATTCTCCTCTTGCTTGCCATCTTAAGAACAGTGATGTCTATGGGAATGGTGCAAGACCCAATCTTCAGAGGGAAGTCCTTGATGAGACCAATAGGTATAGTTGAAGAAGAGTCTCCAAACTTGAGGGAGGAGTTGTTTGGCTCCATGCCTTTGATCACTAAGCTCTTCATCATCTCCAAGGATATCACATTCACACAAGCTCCACTATCCACAAGAGCATCATCTACTTTGAAATCACCAAGAGAATAAGGCAATATGAACTTCCCTTGATTTTCAACCTTGGGAAGAGACTTTGGTGGAGGTTTAGGGTCCTACAAAGAGGAAGAGATGTCAAGAAGCTTTGCCACGTCTTCTTTGTGAGCCAAGATGTCTTGTATGAGGATCATTTGGTCACAAGCTTCTTGCATGTTTGCGATCTTTGGAAGTTGGACTCCAACATCACTCAACTCTTTCCTAAAATTGGAGATCACCTTCTTTTGAGCTTTTGTGATGACCCTCTTCGGAAAAGAGAGCTTATCATAGGGAGATAGTTCAACCTCCTTGTCTTCTTCAAGAAAAGACCCTTTGGATCCTTCAAGCCCAACCTCTTTCAACTTTTGGACAGCTTCATTACCAACCAGAACCTCAGCCTTGTGCGCAGCTTGTTTCACAACTTCTGCCTTATCATTCTGATCAACCTTGGCCTCAACTTTCTCCACAGCTTGGATCTCACCACTGTCCACGACCTTAGCCTTAGTCTTCTCCACAATCTGAACATCAGCCTTGTCCACAATATGTTTCTCAACGTGCACAAGTTCAGAGCCATACAACAATTTTGCTATCTCATCAACCTCACTCACATGATCAACACTTCAGTCTTAGGGACCGTAGGTGAGAGTACAATATTGCAATGGTTCTTCCCTGATCTATGAAAGGTTGATGTCATTGAAGAGAATTGGTTCTCCAAGGGTTTGAACTTGTTTTTTAGCTCCCCAGAAGCACCCTCAATCTTTGTGTTGAGATTTCTCAGCTCAGTTCCTATATGCTTCTCTTGCCTCTTCTGAGCTTCTAAGATGGTTCTCAACATGGCTTCAGTGTCAGCCTCTTTAGTAAGAGAGAGAGAAGGGTTATCTTGGCTTGGTGTAGACTGGTTTCCTTGGTAGGCACCTTGTTGATTGTTGTAGTGAGGTTTTTAATAGTAGTGGTTTTGGTAGTGGAAGTTTGGTTCTTTCCTATACCAAGAGCTATTTGCATTGATGAAACACAAATCATGTTTCCCCTCAATACCCTCAACAACATTCAACTCAGTAGTATCCTCTTTAGCACCCACAAGGTTTACCTTCTCTTGCTTGGCTGGAAATGAAAGAAGCAATTCAAGCTTGTCAATCTTTTCTTCAGGAGACTTCAAATCCCTTCTTGATTCTCTAGTCTCTCCACCATCTCTCTATTGCTTATATCAAACTCATCATTGTAATTGAGTCACTTTTGGCCATGTTCTCCACAAGCTCTAAAGCTTCAGCTTCAGTTCTTCCCAAGAAGAAATCATTGCTAGCAGTGTCTAGCATGCTCCTATACTTTGACAAGACTCCTCTGTGAAGGTACTGAGCAAGCTCTCCTTACTGAAACCATGATGAGGACACTGAGTGATGAAGCCATTAAACCTCTCCCATGCTTCACCAAAGCCTTCAAGGTTCTTTTGAATGAAACCATATATCTCATTCCTAAGCTTAGTTGTCCTTGAAGTAGAAAAGAATTTGGTGAGGAAGGCTTTCTTACATTCATCCCAAGTGGTGATAGAGTCTCTTGAAAGGCTCTTTATCCCAAGTGTTTGCTTCGTCTCCTAATGAGAATGGAAACAATATCAGCTTGAAAGCATCTTCAGAGACACCATTGATTTTTGTTGTCCCACATAGCTTATCAAAGCTATCAAGGTGGTCTATGGGATCTTCCAAGGCAAGACCATGATACTTATTGCTCTGGATCATGTTGATAAGGCTTGAATTGATCTCATAGCTGAATCTCTAATACCCTTCCTACTCCCATGGATGTGAGGCTCATCATAAGCACCAATACTCCTTGGATGGCGCTGGTTTTGGTTTGGTCTAAGGTTGGCAGCTCTTTGACCAATGGCTTCTTGAGAAAGGACAGCCTCATCTTGAGGCAAGTGGTTGTTTCTCTCCATCTCTAGCCTCAACTCTCCCAAGGAGACTAGCCTTTCTTCTTTCCTTCTCCTTCTTAGTAACTCCCTCTTTAAGACTTGTATATCTTGAACTTCCGGTATGAGGTTTGCAGTTCCTCTACTTCTCAGGTTGATACTCCTATCAACCAAGTCAAGAGAGATAAAGAAGAAGATTTTAGTAACTTAAGTAAGTAAATGTGATTTAGTATCAAGCAATGACTAAATCTCAATGTTAAAATCAACTTAGAACTGGCTACGGCGCCAAATTTGATAAGGATTTTTAAGCCTTAGAGCAAATCAATGTAGTATAGTAAGGATGTCAATCCAATCCTGAGTGCTAACGAATAAAGACAATGTAAGACATTGCTAAAGCTAAATGTAATCAAGAGAGTTTTTTTATAAAGTAACAAGTAACTAGCAATGTTAGTAAACAAGAGTAACTAAAGCTTTGTTTCAAGGAGATAGGAGAACCTATGGGTAAGGTTATTGACTTTGGGTGATCAAGTTGCTATCTAGGTAAGGTTTCAAGCAATCATTCATATCCTATAGGTCTATACACAATCCTAAGCTAGTCCTTGGTCAAGGTAAAAGGTCATTTTCTATCAATCTCTAAACACATATGGTCATTGGTCTAAATCAATCAAGCAATCGTTGAGAACAAGTCTACTAACCATTTAAGCCTTCCTAACATCAAGGGTCCTTGGTTAAGAAAACAAAAAGCATTATTACTTTGGTTCAAGAATTTCATCATACACCTTGTGGCAGGCAATTCTTAATGATCTAGTTAGAAGGATTAGGTCTAATCTAGCATTGGCAATAAGTAATAAGCATAGGACAAGAAGGATCTAACACTAACCACCCTAGATCATCACTTAATCACCCTAATCACCCTAACCCATAAGCTCAAAGAGAGTCTACTCACTAATCTTCATATTTAATCTTAAACCCATGATGAACAGAAGACTAATCATGATTAGAAGAAGAGATAGACTCAAATTACTCAAGAAACAAAGATTAGATCAATCAATGATTCTACTTTCCAATGTGTTTT